GGTCAATCTTGACCGTAGGTGAGTCCCGCTCATTGTTCCCATGCATCCGGGACAACATGCCTTTGAAATGTCAGGGTAATTTTCTTTTCCTACCCCTAGAAGGCACAACCGCAGGCACAAGAGCTTAAGGCCACCAGAGCACGAGACCATAGAACCCCTCGTTGTTACCTTGTTCCCCGCACAGCACACCATCTCTCTGTGCTATAAATGTTCATTATTAACTATCTCCTACCCACCGATGTGCAAGAAGCCTGTGTCTCCATTTTGCTTTTTATCCAATCCCAGAGAGTTCTTTCATCCCCCCGGGCTCTACCACCAATGGATTTCATGCACTTTCCTTACGTCTTCTTTGATTCTAAATGCATAAAAGAAATTGCAAAACTGCCATTCTCTGGAGCATTTGAGATCTTGCTCCCCAGCAAATGTCATCAGTTTGGCTCAAATCAACTCATACAAATGCTCTACAGGCTTGGACATTTCTTACATCGACAAAACATATTAACAACCGGGCCATATTGAGCACTGCAGGTGCCCCTTACAAGGAGTGGGTGTACCGGAGAAGTCCCACCCCATCACTTAGTATACCCCGCACCCCAATAGTCAGGCTGTTGGCCTCTCTCATTCAAAGAAAACAACTTCAAACTTCTCCCCCTTTTGCCCAATTCTACACATTAGCCAGGGGGAGTGTTTTCCAGTGCCCATCGAACCAGACCATGTCACCCTCTTGCTCAGAACCCTCCCATGCCTTCCCAGTGCCCTCCGGATCAAGCTTCAACTCTTTTCTGTGGTCGGTATTTACCTTCACTCCCTGGACCCTGCTACCTGACCAGCTTCACCTCTCGCCATTTTTATTCCTCTGCCCAGCAGAAGCCACAGTTCATACCTGCAGAGCTGCCTACATTGCCTTTCACCTGATACAGTTTTTCTCACCTTGCTAAGTTTGCACATGTGAGCACCTTGCTCTGAAAAGCCTGGCTCCCAGCCTTGCCTGCCTGATGCCTGATGCCAAACCCTCTTCCCACAAAGCCTGGGAAAATTCTTAAGTCCCCTGACTTAAGCTGGCCCTGACAACAGGTTGGAGGTGGGTGATTTCCCCCGTCCCCTTCATCATTTCCTGTAGACATTGGTGTGCGTTTCTTTGTTAACTTGCATTTAAAAGTCAAGGGTAAAACTTAGCTCTTTTCATTCAAAACCCAATTAATGCCACCAAAGCAATTTAATAAAACAAAAGGACAAAATGACACTGTCCTCTCATTTGGCCCACAGGTGTCCCTGTGTCTAAGCAAAGTGTTTCATCTGTACTTCCGGCCCTGCCCACCCCTTCCACTTCTCCTCCTGCTAAAACTTTAAAACCAGAAGATCTCAGGAAGCAAAAGCACCCAAATTCCTTCCACTGTGGAAGGAGAGGAATCAAGAAAGAAGGTTGGGCTTTGTGTAAGAGAGAGAGAGAGACAGAGAGAAGAGAGAGAGAGAGAGAGAGAGAATGAGAGAGATGGGTGCACAGAGAAAAAAATCTAAATTTTTTTTCCTATTTGTGACTCCATATCCATTTTTAATAAAGTTGTTATATATGTCAAATATATATATCTAATATATGTACATATTAAAATATATATATATATGGTGTGTGTGTATTTTAGGCACCCAAATCTCACTGCTTGACTCCAGACCTCAGTTTTCCCATTTGTTAGATGAGAGTTTATCTGAGCCTGTATCAGATAGGGGTAGAGGCCAATGCCCACTTTGCACAATTTGTTCTATTTCTTCCCCTCTTCATCTGCAACCCTGCCTGAAGTACCACCATTTGTGACCTCATCCACTATCCTCTTTCAAAATATACTTACCCGCAGTATGACTATCCTTAATGCCCTAGAGCGGTGGTTCTCAAGCTGGGGTATTTTGCCTCCAGGAGCTATTGGGCTGTGTTGGGAGATAGGGTTGGTTGTCACAACTGGGGTTGCTACTGACATCTAGTGGACAGAGGCCAGGGATGCAGCTCAACATCCGGCAATGCACAGCATACCCCCCCCCGGCCCCGCCAAGACCTATCAAGAGTGCTGAGGGTGAGAAGCTCCGCCCCAGAGTGAAGGTGTTTATTAGATACTTTTCTCTACAGGCTCTANTTGGGAGATAGGGTTGGTTGTCACAACTGGGGTTGCTACTGACATCTAGTGGACAGAGGCCAGGGATGCAGCTCAACATCCGGCAATGCACAGCACACCCAGCCCCGGCCCCGCCAAGACCTATCAAGAGTGCTGAGGGTGAGAAGCTCCGCCCCAGAGTGAAGGTGTTTATTAGATACTTTTCTCTACAGGCTCTAGGCTGAGACTACTGGACTCTGGTGGCCCCGAGGTAGGAGGGAGCGCTGAAAGTTTAAAAGAGAAGTTTGTTCTGCAGCTGCTAGGTACCTGGCTCTGGAACCATCACTTTGCAGGACAGATTCCTGCTGGATAAGCCCCGTGTGCCCTGTTTTCAGTTGCTTACAGGCATACAACTATGAAGAGTCATGATTTACATCTCATCCTGTGACGGACTCTGCAGTCTCTGCTCTGGAAGGGACCAATGGGGATGGTCACCAATTCTAAGAGGAGGAAGCATTTCTGCTGGAGCCTGAACAATGAGTTGATTTCAGAACATGGAGGGATCTGCGCAAGCTGTGGGTCTGCATGCACGGGCACTGAGGAAATGAAAATCAATGAAGTTATGGTCCGGCCTGCACAGCAATCGAGTCCATGAGAGCACTTTCAACAAGCTGATGTTCCCCCAGGGGGGAGCTTTTGATTCAGTAGGTCTGCAGTGAGACTGAGAATAAGCATTTCTCACAAGTTCTCAGGTGATGACGCTGTTGCTGGTGTGGGGACCACATATCAAGAACCACGACCCCAGGGCAACCAGACATATCTTGGGGGATTTACTAATATCTAGACCTGCTTAAAGTGAGTCTCCGCATTCTCGAAAGAGGAGCTAAGTTTATTTATTTAGCATAATGTCTTCCAAGTTTATGCACGGTGTAGCAAATGGTAGGATTTCTTTCTTAAAGCTGAGTTAATATGTCCTTGCATGGATAGACCACATTTTCTTTTTCCACTTATCTGTTAATGGGCACTTAGGTCATTACCCTTTCTGTCTTATATTGAAAATAAAGCTGCAATGAACACAGGAGTGGCGACAGTAGTCTGGATACCTTAAAGAGCCCACCTGTTCCAGCTGCACCTTCCAATCCCAATAAGATTGCAGGAAGTGCGAGTGAGGTGGGGCTGGGGCCTGGCTGAGTTGCTTCATCTGGGATTGAGCCCACCCCAGGGACATGACAGTGAGGAGAGGAAGAGGAAGGAAAGAAGGAAGAGCTAGAAGAGAAGAGGAAGAAAAGGTGGGGCAGAGAAGTCAGAACACAAGGAGGAAGAACAGAGGAAGGAGAGGAAGAGAAAGGCACAGGGGGAAGAGAACAGAGAGGCAGGAGGAAGAAGATGGGAGTGGGTGAGAGAATGAGTGAATGAATCAGAGGAAAGCACTTCCATCTTTGTGTACCTGGCAAACTCCTACTCTTCCTACAAAACCCAGCTTAAAAGCCCCAGGAGCCTTCCCTGACCCCACCCCACAATCTCACAGCCTCCCCTTATCCCTGTCACATTGTGTTCATTTGAGTCTCTGCTGTTCATCTGGCACTGCCCTAAAAACTCCACACACTCAGTGCAACCCTATGAGCAGGCACAAGTATTTCCCCCATTTCTGGGAAACTGAGGCACAGAGCGATTCCTCTAAGTCATAAGGTTGGGTGGCAGGATGAGGTTTTGCTAGTTGCTTCCAGTGACAGAGGGTGAGAAAGTGATTTCCTTCTTCCAAGAATCATTGCTAGGTTGGTTGGTTTGTTTTCCCTCCCAGCAAGCTTTGGGAAGGAGAGCTGTAGAAAAAGACGGGACCCTCCAGGTCTGTCCCTCCTCTGTCAAAGGTTCAGCGAGATAGCAGGCTGGGCCCAGCTGACTCTCTAAGCCTCGGTTCACTGGGGCAGAAGAGGCTCTGAGATCCCGTCCAACTCTGACTGCGCCGCTGTGATTGACAGGGCTCAGCTCCAATCAGGGCCCGAGGAGTGCTGTTTCCCCACACACACACACACACGCGCTTACAGACACCCCCGCCCCCATCCCCACCCTCGGCCTGGGAGCCCGGAGGAAGACGCTTTGCTGACACCTGGTGGCTGAAGCGGGAAGTGGCTCCCGGAGGGCGGGAAAGAGGAGCAGGGCAGTCCTGCTGAGACCTGAGAGAAGAAGCTGTCCACGCTGACAGGAGGAAAGGGAAGGGAGGTGGGGGGGACCTACTGTCTCAGGACCAGCCCTCTGAAGTTTCCACGCCCTGAAGTACTGACTGTACCTGGAACACTGGAACATACCATGCTCTGTCTTGCTTCCCTAACTTTGCACACTCTGTTCCTTTTGCCAAGATGGTTCCTCCCCAAGATTCACCTGGAAAACGCCACCTCTCCTTTCAACACCTCCACGTGTTTGGGAAATCTACTAACGTCCCAGGCAGTAACCCCTGCCTTTTCTTGATGTCCCTGTCTCTGGGACAGGATAGGGATTGCAGGGTTATTGGCTCCTCTGGGAGGTCTAAGGAAACCCCCAGGTTCAAGGCGACAACTCAATCATGAGCGAATGGCAGTCAATGCATACATGTGTAAGGGCTGGGACATCCACCCCATGGCCCCGAGAGTAACTGTGCTCAGCAACCACATAAGAGGGAGCCCAGGCCAAGCCACTCAGGTGGCATACGAGTTGTAAGTCAGGCGAAGAAACAGGCACAGAGAGGTTGGACTATATGCCCAAGGCCACACAGCTAAGTAGCTGCAGAGCCGGAAGACACAGTGAAGACCCTGCTGTCCTATCCCTCACCCCGACACTTTCTGTCTGTCTGTCTGCCTGTCTTACACACACACACACACACACACACACACACATACACACAGTACCCCAGCTCCCACTGGGGATAAAAAATACTGCAGCAGACCAGTTGCAAGTCACACTTTATTCACTCACCACGAGGTCTGGGGGGGTCCTGGGCAGCAGACCAGGCCCCTGAGAAGGAGGAAATGGGGGACATTAGTTGGAGGGGTGGAAGGCACCACGTTGGTGCCACTGCATGTCACGGATGCGGCGCACAGACTGCACCTGGGGGTGGGGGGCCCCAAAGTCACTGCTGTCCTTGTAATCTCCCTTCTCCAGCAGGTACTGCAGCCCACGGTAGCCAGGGTACTGGTAGCCAACCCACCTGCAGGGCCAGAGGTGGGCAGAGGGGACATGGGGAGACAGGAGAAACAGATAAAAAGAGGGAGAGAGAGAGAAAGAGAATCCTGAAACCATGAGGAAGGGTGGAGGCCTCCCAATCATTTTACACTTCCTGAATGGTGAGCAGGAACAGTACCACCCTTCCAGCATCTAGCCTCTGCTTTCTTTCTTCTCTCGATGGGGAGCTCACTACCTCCTAAAAACTTTTAACTAAAGATACTAGGATCAGAGGAAGGGGTGATCCCTTAAGATGAGAACAAGACAGGCCCCTTATCCCAACCCCGAGCCCAGCTGCAAGGCTGAAGGAGAGTGGGTGAGGTCCCGGGAGCCCTTTGTACTTCCTTTACCATTTGAAGTCATCACCATTTTGGGGATCACTCACTCTTTTGAGTACCTGATGAACGTCACGATCGTCTCCCCAGAAAATGTCACATAGCCCTGGCCCCCAGGGCCCTGCGTGGCCAGCCCCCACAGACACCCCAGCTGTTTCTCAGTCTCGAGCCCCCACGTCTCAGCAGCCTCACTACTCTGGCCTATGCAGAGTCCCTCACACTCACCAAGCCCTTCCTTTCCCTGTTGGCCCTCACAATTCCTGTTCTTTCTTGAGATCTCAGCTCAAGCGTCCCTCCTTCAGGGAAGGAGTCTAGATTTGTGTGACTCTTAAATTATGAAGAGTTGCTCCCACCTAGACCAGGGGTCGGCAAACTGCGGTTCGCAAGCCACATGCGACTCTTTGGGGTACGTACAATGTGGCTCTGAAGTAAAATTGAAAATGAAAATAAAGCTATCATAGTTTCATTTATAAAATTTTTAAAGGATTTTAAAATTTTCCTTATTTGTAAAAATATATTTATGGCTCTCAAATAATTTTTAAATTGTTGTGAGGGACAGGATTGGCTCTTCCATCTCAAAAGTTTGCTGACCTGTGACCTAGACTGTTGGCTAGGCAAGGCAAGCCAGTTCTCTTTCATCTATCTTGACATATGGACCCCCTAACCGCGTGCCTGGCACACGGCAGCACTCCACAAACTGAATGAATGAATGAATGAATGAATGGGACCAGGAACACAGAATTTTGCACGCTATTTTAGGAGTTTGGCAAACCCCAGAAAGCCAGTCTATGTTGGCAAACCAACTTCCTTAGGGGAATAAAGTCTTGATTTGTAGCATTTTCCATTTTCTATGGTGTAAATACTTCCACCATGGTAGATTTCAAACTACCAGTGATTCAACCACCAGCTCACAAAATTTCTGAGAATTTAAGAGTCGGCTCTTGCAAACTGGTACAAGCCGGCTCCCGCATGCCACTGGCCCAAGCCCATCTGTGGATGGCCATGACATCCAAGTTTTTCACAGTGAGCAACTCCCCAATGCTGACAGCCAAGGTTTACATGCCAAGGAAGTTTAATTCAGTGGGAAGTGAGGATGCCTCCTTTTTCCATACTCAGGAACTCGTTCAGTAAAAGACGAGCATGAGCTGGACTTCCTGCCTCTCACAGCTTTGTTAAGACTACTCAACCCATTCCCACCCTGCTGCTACCCCCTTCTCTGCCTCACCCTGTCCCCCTCACCAACATTTCCTGTCCTGCTCCTGGGGCTGAGGTTAAGGCCAAGTTCTCTCTCCTCCAAAGGTAGGGTGTTACCCCAAAGGAAGGTCTAGATGGAAATTCAGGGGCTGAGAGCCACCACTCATGGGCTGATGATTTCCACACCCATTTTCCAATGAGAAGACTGAGGTCGGAAGTGTACGGGATCACCAGACTTCAGAGCAAAGCAGGACTTAGGACCCCAGGGTCTGGGATCCTGGGGCAGGGCGAGCCAGGGCTGCGTCTGCACTCACGTGCCACTCTGCACCCGCACGGACGACACCTTCTCCTGGTAGCCGTGGGCGTGGAAGCTGGGCACGTCGTCGTCTGTGATCTCCATCTTCTTCCCCATGAAGTTGGGGTTCTCATAGAGGATGATCCTGTGCTCTTGGCTGTCCTGTTGACAAGGAGTGGCGGGACATCAGTGCAGGAGATGCCCAATACCCTCTGCCCAATACCGCCATCACATGTCTTTGACAACTGCCGTTGAACAGCAGCCATTTGGTGGGATCCTATTGGGCTATTTTCATGTAACAGACACCCCAGATTCTACACTTTGGAAAACATTTGATTCTGAAATATCATTTCTCCTCCCACAGCCTCAACTCCCCTTTATAAATAAATGGTAGCCGTGACCCCTACACACACACATGCGCACACGCGCGCACGCGCGCACACATACACACACACACACACACACACAGCACTTGAGAGATATTTTGGCTTTCCTTCATCTCTGTCTCTCCCCATCCTCCTGTTTCTTAATCTCCTTTAATCCTTTAAACTACTCTTATGCCATTTGGCAGATAAGGAAACTGAGGCTCAGAGAGGTAAAGTGGCTTGCCCAAGGTCACACAGCTGGGGGTACCAGAACCAACATAAGAACCCAGGACTGTGGAAGGCTAAGTCCAGTGCTCTCCAGTCTTCCATCAAGCTTTTGGGAGAACTAGACTGGGCTGTGAAGGTTTGGGGGGTATGACCGAGCATTAGCTGGGCTCTTTGTGCACCCCTTGAGTTCACACGCTAATAAGAAGAATCAAGATCAGAGAAGCACTGAAAGGTCACACTGGCTTGAATTATAAACAAGAGCTAAACTGCCTTTCCCTTTACACCCAGTCCCGGAATTCTGACCACTAACGATGGCTATCATTTACTGAGCAATTGCTCTGTAACAGGAGTTGTGCAACCTTGGAAAGCACCGTCCACATGGAATAAAATGTGAACAGTGCCCCCTGGAGC